GCAGCAAAGTATCTCCAAACTATGACAGTACCCATTTCTGTGTTTGATAATCAATATGAGGTTCTTATTGTAGAATGCAGTGTTTGGCTTCCACCAGTCCTAACTGAATCTGCGTGACTTGAAAAGTTCCACCTTTGATTTATTTGCCCATAGAACCTTTCACCAGGAGTCTGGAGATTCATCCAGCTGTTTGGCAAAATTTAAATATTTATGACTTCTTCAGGGGCAGGATTCAAATTTTGTAACCGGTTCTGTGGGCATGGCTTAGGACGTGGCTTGGTGGTCAGGTTATTAGCTGGGTGTGGCCAACTCAACATCACTCACATCGAGGCACGCATCTCCTCGCTTGGCCTTGTGACTGTGGGGATGCTGCAACAGTCGTGTGAAAAACGGTCATAGGTCACTTTTTTCAGTGCCATTGTAACTTTGAATGATCACTCCACACAAGCAAAGTACCAGCAAAGGAGGGGAAAAAAACTCCAGAGACGTTCCTGAGACAGGAAGTCTAGTCCTGCCAAGAATGTAATAAGAGTTAACGGAGAGGCAGTTCCTGTAAGCAACACCAGAATGTTTCCTTCCTGCCTTCCTTACAGGATTAGGCCAGTAATTGCTTCTAACAACTGGTTCTCCAAACTACTTAGCATGTTAACCGGCGAATAGGTGCAAACCAGTAGAATCCCACCCCTGGGCTTTCTCACTACTCTGTTTTATACAGTGCTTTTCTAATGGTACTGTCAAAATTTGCCCAGATCCTTGGATGACATTCTAGGGTTCTTTGTGACTTCCTAGCCAGTTCTATCATATATTCTTAAAAGTGACGAGCCACTTTTTTGTTGTTGAAGATTTACAATTATCTCAATTGATTTTATTTATAAGATTGTCTCTGGTGAAGCTTCAGAGGACTAGAATGGTTTTGTAGCCTTTTCTGGCAAATGGGTATTGTCGATGTTTTACAGATGCCTTCAGAAATTTCTTCTGAGGTGAGAGAGATGTGCCTTAGAATTTCTGTGGTGTGAACATCAGTGATGTGGAACCCTGATCATTAGCCATAATTATGCCCTTTAATTAATGTCATGATTTTCTCATACTGTTACACATTGGTTGATTTGTTTATGAAATAAAGAAAACAAGCACGAAACTTTGATGTTCTTTGTTCATTTAGATTATATATCAGTAGGATCTGTAGCTCTGATACAAGCTAAACTGAGTCAAACTTGATCCAAGCTAAAAAGATTGAAAACATCCAAAGGGCCAAATACATTTTAACTGAATGATGTGTGCATATGTTGAGCATAAAGAGGCTTCCTGAGATCTCTATAGCAGGGGTGTCAACCTCGATTTCATTGGGGTTGTGTTTGATCTCGGGGCAGGAGTGGGCGTGGCCAGGGTGGGCATGGCCAGCATGATGTCACTCGTGTTGGGCGCCTGTGATGGCCCAAGCACTCTGCCAGCGAAAATGGGTTCCCGAGCTCCATTTTCAGCTGCGATGGCCTCCTGCAACTGCCTGTCAGCGAAAATGGAGCTCAGGAGGGCCACACACAGAAATGAAGTGGAATTCCATTAAGCAAACTTATAAAACCTTCTCCATCAAAAAACAAACATCTAATCGTCATTCATTGGAATAAAATTGGAATATTCACATTCTTTAAACCAGGGCTCACCAACTTTTTGGACCTCAGGGACCACCAAACTCATAATTTTAAATCCCACGGACCACTAACCTGTTCTGTGGGTGTGGCCTAATTTGTGGGTGTGGCTTGGTGGTCATGTGACTGGCTGGGCATGGCTTGTATGTAAATTATAAATATTTATATAAATATTGAATTTTTTTATAAAAAGCAACTTTTATCCAAAATCAGGCAAAGCAGGCAGGCAGATTGAGTTGCTCACAGAATCATTCAGTGATCTATCTACCTGCCATCAGCTAGCTCAGTCTGTCACATAAAATTTGCTTGCCCGTGAGTCTGCACTGAATAATAGAACCTTCAGTCCTAAGGGAGGTTTGGCTGTGCGTAAAAGCAGAGCCGAAGATCTAAAGACTAGCTTGAAAGCAAGAAATCCAACCATTTTCTGCTTCCTAGCTAATCTAAATCTCCAGGCACAGCAGAACAGCTGATGGTCAGAAAAATAGCAATTTAGCAGGAGTGAGTAGGCAGGGAGGGTTCCCACAGACCGTGTGGGCAGCACAGCCTTGTGTTTTTCCGCAGCCTGGATTAATTGCATTGGGGGTGTGTATGCTCTGGGGGTTGAATTTCTCTGCGGGCCACCAAAATTTTCTCACGGCCCACTAGTGGGCTGCAGACCACCGGTTGGTGACTACTGCTTTAAACAGCTAGTGGGAGAAATTCCCAGGCAGGCTGATTTAGTTACTATAAGAGGGTTCCGTAAGCAGTTTTTCTCCAGAAGCAGTTTTTGTCCCCCACCCCATTTTTCTAATCTGATAAAAAATATACAGGTAGTCCTTGATTTATGACTACAATTGAGCCCCAAATTTCTGTTAAGTGAGACATTAAGTTTTGCCCCATTTTATGACCTTTCTTGCCAC